TTTGCAGCACAGCCTGCAGACCATTTTCATTCCTTTCTCATCCGGAGAGGTAGCATGACTAATTTCTTGTGAAGGCCGATGCTTGTAAAAGTTTAAGGTCACTTTAGCTGTTTATGCAGTGACTCTCTGATTGGCCTCTACAGATCTTCCACTATTGAGGTGGTTACCTCTTATGAAGCAGGGGGCTATATCAGTCTAAGTAACATGCTGGTAAAGTCTTCCATGTTCTTCACTCACTCTTAGACCTGCGCTTGAAGTCTCTTGATATTGTTGGTATCGTTTATAGTGGAAGCAAACCACATTCCTAAGTCCTTTATCAGGTTGTTTAGTACAAACGGAATGTTATCACCTTGGATCTTCCTCAGAACCTTGTTCTTATCCATTTCACTCATTTCACTTCCAGGCAACTGCCAATTCACTTGTGTCAAAGGTCCAGAGATGTCAATGTACTTTTGTCGTCACAATGAAACCAACTATACTCTCGTTAGAGGTTCATCAATGCTCTTTCTTTCTGGTCTCTTTGCTGTCACGTCTACCGACCTGAAGGCATGATTCCCATTACACGGAAAACCATGGTCACATACCTGGGCCCGTATTCATGAAACCATTCTCATGCTCAAGCATGAATTTTGTGCCCAAGCTTTATGTATTGTTCAAGTTAAAAATTAATAAGTAAGACTGATCTTCCCAAAGATTTTAAAGCAATTTTGAAAGGACTTCAAGTCAAAGCTATATTCAAGGTTTAAATTTGACATTTGTCTTATTTTATGGTTTCATGAATACGGGCCCTGGTCTTATTCCCCTTGTACTTAATCATGCGTCTCCGTGTAAATCTTTCTTTTGTTCGTATGTTGCACTAGTTCTATGGAATTTTGTTTGGATCATGATTATGTTGCTATGTTGGTATTTTCTTTATGTTTATTGTGTTAGTGTTGAGGAGGTGGGCACGTCTTTAACTGACTCTGGCTGTTACTACAACATAAAACAGCCATAAACTAAAAAACCATTGATGTTGTTGAAGAAGTTATTCATGATCATCCAGATAATTGCGTTTTTCATGCCAGATAATTGTACATTTAAATTATTTCCATGTCATTTCTTTCAAAATAAAACAACAACTTTACCTTCTTCCAAAGACTTTGTTTGATGCCACGGATATGTCGTCTACCTGTTTCAGCTTTACTTTTCTTACTTAATATATTTTATAAGGAAGAATGGACTAGTTTTATTTGAAGTTAAAAAATTAGAGTCGTTGGAACAAAAACGGTTACACCGAATAACCTCAACAGTCTAAAATAATGGCTAATAAATCACTTTAGGAAAGGTTCATATACGATATTTATTTTGAGATTCACCTAGTGTTGTTGACCTTTATTCCTGAAGGGGTCGACTTCTCTGTCTATAACGTAATACCTTTGTTGTAGACAGTGAAATGTGGTCCTGCCGAGCGTCAGACTAACCATACGGTTCCCTGCTACTCTTAAGTCCGTCTGTACCGACCGAGGGCTACAGAAACAATACATCCTAATAACAGTGTCCAAATAAAGACATAATACGCACAGAGGTACAGCCGTAATTATCTCAGTTTTTCCGAGTCTACCATTAGTTAGCCCCGTGCTGGCTAGCAGTGTAAAGTTATAGATGTCCACGTCTATTATGAAATTATTTTAGCATTGACAACTACATGAGGTAGAATCCTGAGAACCATATTCAGGTTCATACAGAAATAACTATATCCTCGCATACATTTTAAAAGTCATTAGGTTTGATCTTTGACCGTTTAACCTTGACCGATGAACATCGAAATTTTACCAAGAGTATAACTTAGTACTGTGGCGTCAACATGAGATCAAGATAAAACACGTGTATCTGAAGCATTTTGCTGCGGACTGAGTGTATGTTCAAAGTGAAAACTATGTACCCCTTTATTGCGTGAGGGATGATAAAAGAAAGGCCAAGACAAGTTGAGTTTATTGTTGTTTTACATCCTACGAACAGCCAGAGACATTTGAGGACGTGTCAGATATAGCTGGTGGAGGAAAGCCGGAGTTTTCCGACAAATACCACCGGTCTGCGGTCAGTATCTGGCGACAGCTCCTCGAAGGTCTCGAATCTGCAACCAAGAGTTGGAGGGCGAGTCAAAAAACGATCAGTTGCCTTAACCACTTGGCCTGCCCGGCCTCTGAAATAGCAAGTATAAGAAGTTTACGACAACGCTATCTCCAATGCTTCAGGATATGCGTTTCTGACAGGACACACGAGGGTCTGTGAAAAGCTGCTTCTGGCATATACCGAATGTTTAGTCACCAGTAATCCTAAAAACACAATGAAATTTCAATCATGGTAGACACTATTTCCAACGGATTTTTCCAAAACATCTGGCTTCATCTACTAACGAATATTCCAGAATCCGGTTATATTTAAAGTAGGAAAGTGTCCAGCATTGTTTCTTTTACAAGGATCTGTAGGATCTGTGCGGGGTCGAAGAACGTAGTAATAAGGATCTATCCTAACCCACGCAGCTCTAGTCAACACAGCCTGACATATCACTGGAATGTTAATATCACGATATCCCAGTTCTATCATCAGAACGAGTTCCCTTACAATACAATTCAACTGGATCTTAACACAAAGACCTGTGACTAAGCTTACAGATTGTGCCCGTGTCCAAGCTTACAGATTGTACCCGTGTCCAAGCTTACAGATTGTGCCCGTGTCCAATCTTACAGATTGTACCGGTGCCCCAGCTTACAGATTATACCAGTGCCCCAGCTTACAGATTGTACCGGTGTCCAAGCTTACAGATTGTACCGGTGCCCAAGCTTACAGATTATACCAGTGCTCAAACATACAGATTGTACCAGTGCCCCAGCTTACAGACTGTACCGGTGTCCAAGCTTACAGATTGTACCAGTGCCCCAGCTTACAGATTGTACCGGTGCCCCAGCTTACAGATTGTGCCCATGCCCAAGCTTACAGATTGTGCCCGTGTCCAAGCTTACAGATTGAACCGGTGCCCTAGCTTACAGATTGTACCCGTGTCCAAGCTTACAGATTGTACCCGTGTCCAAGCTTACAGATTGTACCGGTGTCCCAGCTTACAGATTGTACCCGTGTCCAAGCTTACAGATTGTACCCGTGTCCAAGCTTACAGATTGTACCGGTGCCCCAGCTTACAGATTGTACCCGTGTCCAAGCTTACAGATTGTGCCTGTGTCTAAGCTTACAGATTGTACCTGTTTTCCAGCTTACAGATTGTACCCGTGTCCAAGCTTACAGATTGTACCGGTGCCCCAGCTTACAGATTGTACCCATGTCCAAGCTTACAGATTGTACCAGTGTCCAAGCTTACAGATTGTACCAGTGTCCCAGCTTACAGAATGTGCCCGTGTTCAAGGTTACAGATTGTACCTGTGTCCAAGCTTACAGACTGTACCCGTGTCCCAGCTTACAGATTGTACCTGTGTCCAAGGTTACAGATTGTGCCCGTGTCTAAGCTTACAGATTGTGCCTGTGTCTAAGCTTACAGATTGTACCAGTGTCCCAGCTTACAGATTGTGCCCGTGTCTAAGCTTACAGATTGTGCCTGTGTCTAAGCTTACAGATTGTACCAGTGTCCAAGATTACAGATTGTACCTGTGTCCAAGCTTACAGATTGTGCCCGTGTCCAAGCTTACAGATTGTACCAGTGCTCAAGCTTACAGATTGTACCTGTGTCCAAGCTTACAGATTATACCGGTGCCCCAGCTTACAGATTATACCAGGGCTCAAACATACAGATTGTACCCGTGTCTAAGCTTACAGATTGTACCTGTTTTCCAGCTTACAGATTGTACCCGTGTCCAAGCTTACAGATTGTGCCCGTGTCCAAGCTTACAGATTGTACCCGTGTCCAAGCTTACAGATTGTACCCGTGTCCAAGCTTACAGATTGTACCCGTGTCCAAGCTTGCAGATTGTACCCATGTCCAAGCTTACAGATTGTGCCTGTGTCTAAGCTTACAAATTATACCCGTGTCCAAGCTTACAGATTATACCCGTGTCCAAGCTTACAGATTGTACCTGTGTCCAAGCTTACAGATTATACCCGTGTCCAAGCTTACAGATTGTACCAGTGTCCAAGCTTACAGATTGTACCAGTGCTCCAGTCTACAGATTGTACCAGTATCAAAAAGACTGTATCAGTTGTGGGAATCCTGTCTCTGACTTTGTCATCCCTTGACTTTAGAAAGCAGGCAACAACGTAAATTAGGATGCTTATTCAATTCCTTTCCACATTTACTTATTTAAATAAAAATAAGGTCGAGGAGATGCCGTACAACATATCAATCCATTCTTATACCTCATTTGTCATTAGTATACAAATAAAACTCTAATTCCAATAAAAGCAAGGTTGTTTAATATGTCTTCGTAAATTCTAATATATCTCAAACACCTTATTAGCTTAGTTTGTTCGCGTCACAAAATGTCTCCTATAAGACAAAGATCGACATTTTAGATATTTCTGATTGGTTTGTTTTGCTGTTTGATGTTATTACTCTTTGTTTTTTCTTTGATAACATAACATTACTTGGACTTCACATATATTTATATGGAGTGTCGAAAATTGACGAATCAAGACGTTTACCATGCAATTTTACATGGCATTTTTTTATCCATAAAACATACTATTTCAGATTCTACCCAAGGTTTTACTTTCAATCAAATTGAATGAGTACATCTCCTGTCCTTCACTGAACACACACATATTTTACCAGTTTTTATTTCTTGAATACCTATTCTATTTTGTATTTTTTGCCACACTGTGACCTTCAATCTTTCAATATACATGTTTATTGCAAAGTGCCATGGTTATCAGAAAAGGTTCAATATAGTTTCAAAATAAAAATTACCAGCATTCAGGAACTCACAAAAGCAATTTATTTTACCACATATGTCATTAGCAAATTCTTAACAAATTAAAAGCAATTACTATAAACTTTAAAATGAACACAGGTCATGAATGAACGTTGATAACTAATGATTCTGAAATAAAACAAATGTCATACAATAACTTGACAGTTTAAAACTAATTGTTTACAACTGAACACTTACATACCACAAAAATATACTTTTTACAAACTCTAACAAACAAATGATCTAAAGACAAACATGACACTAACCAATGCCATCAAACAAATAAAACTATAATTGGCAGTAAAACTATATGTCTTCTAACTATGAAATCACTAATACAACCCCTGAGAAAACTTTAATAAAATATCGTATCATCTGCATAATTTGATGAATGGGTTCAAAAGATAATGATAATTCTTAATTACTTCCAACATATGTAAACTACATATCATTCACAGTTTGTTGACGTACATCATCCCTCAGCGATGATATGTTGGTATGAACATCAACAATACTTTAGTGATTGAATTAGCACCATTCATGCCGAGTTGTATATTTAAATGCTTTCACTTCTCTGAGTAATCTATGTAGTATTTACATGTAAAATCCTAACAATAATTATAATGATCAGTAAGACATCATCAATTGATCGCTTCAGAAACATAACCATTAACAGAACATTCCCCTTAGGTCGCAGACTTAGTGTGGGGAATATTGCACAAGTCAAGCTGATATATTGCCGAGACAACTACTGTGATAAGGTCCCATACTGAACATTTTGGACATCAATTTTACAGCCTGTTTGCTGTATACCCTTTTAAAACTTACAAAAGAAATATTATTTTGATTTAAATAATTGATACTGGTAATCAGAACAGACTAGGTGTCTGTTCTACCAAATCTTTACTGTCATCTTTAATTTCAACAATAGGTAACACTTTGTTTCTCTTCTTCATTTTTCCTTTTTCAAACAAACTAAGAAAATCAGAGTCACCTTCAGAAATGAGTTTATCGACCCCTGTCTGTGGCAAAGCTTTCTTCTTCTTCTTCCATTTGACAGGATCGTTAAAACAATCAAAACTGTCATCCTTGAGAGTGCTATCATTGAGAAGATGAATGTCTGAGGATTCAGACACCACAGAAGGATGTTCACTGTCAGTTGTATCACCTAAAATATCATTTTGTTCTTTCCCCTGACCCGCCAAAATCTCCCTTCCTTTTCCCTTACCAGGCGGAGGCTTTCTTGCTGATTTAGAAGACTTCATACCCCCGAGAAATATGTCATCTATGTCTTCATACACAGACATGTTTTGAGTATTATCAGCTTGTCCAGACACAACATTCTTTCTATCTAGACCTATTTCTTCCAGCAGTTCAGTAGATTGTGGCCCTGCCTCTCTGGTTCTCGGTGCCTCCTCCTCCTCCTCCTCTTTGTCGTATGTCTGCACGGACCACATAGGGGACATGGCTAGGCCATGAATCTTGGCTCCACTACTATTACCCTTACTAGGCAGTCGTGTTCTGGTTGTCATAACTGTGTTGCCTTTCTTCTTTCTTACCTTCCTGCCTATTTCTATACTGTCTGATGGATCACTCTCTCGACTGCTAGTCCGCATAAAGATTTTTGTTCCAAGAGATTCACTGTCGGACAGGTAGCTAACCCCTAAAGTAGGATTAACTTTCTTTTTCCTCTGAGATTTTGAAGATTTAGATCTGCTTGTAGACTCTACAAACAAACGGAAAGTAACATCACATAGAAAAATATCATCAGTTTTGCTGTGGACTACATTCCATTTATGTATAAACATCAGTCTACTTCCTATATTTTACCTGGCATGAACTTATATTCAGTACCATAAACCATCATTCTATCGCATTTTAAAGCTTAGACGCCCACCCCAGACATTATAACATGAACAGATCTGATAATATACTGAATACCTTGTCTTTGTTAAAATAGAAATCTTAACAAATAAAGTAAACGTTTACTCAAGTCATAATTATCTCATTATAATATTACTCCCTTTCACTTCTTTGTTTTTAATGATATTATTTTTCCTGTTTTAAATTTGTGAAGAAAATACAACAATTATACTAGTATTGTCTCACTATAAAGGTGACTCGGATTAAGAACAGTTATCTACCTCTGTTAGGAGATGACTGCTCTTTTGGAGATTCTTTGAAGATTTTAGACAGATCAGGATTTTCTTTCACATAGAAATCCTTCAGCATTTGAATTCTGGAACTTGAGTCTGACAGTAGCACAGTCTGAGCAAAGTCCACTAGCGACTCCTCTCCTGCCATCTGCTGGAACTGTCGCCTGAAATACATCTTATGTGCAATAGCATTATGTTAGTCAATCTTGAGAATTTGAACTTTAAAATGATATGTATCAGAACAGAATTTGGAACAATCCAAATATAATTGATTTGCCTCTGACTGAGTAAAATGTGGCCTCTGTATAACTGAAGTCTGGCCTCTGTATAACTGAAGTCTGGCCTCTGTATAACTGAAGTCTGGCCTCTGTATAACTAAAATCTGGCCTCTGTATAACTGAAGTGTAGCCTCTGTATAACTCAAGTCTGGCCTCTGTATAACTAAAGTCTGACCTCTGTATAACTAAAATCTGGCCTCTGTATAACTAATGTCTTGCCTATGACAAAACTAGCTTACAGCTATGCTATGATTGTCAAAATCTATTCAATTTTGCCTGATCATTACTGAATCATTTCAAATATCAATCACAAGAGTTCCTTGGAACTGTATGTGTCGCCTGCATAAAGTGTCACGGTCACCCAGAAATTGAACTGGATGTGTAACGATCAACCATAAAGTTGTAATACCAAATTTCATTTCTATAACTTGAAGCATAAAGGGAAAACTGCGCAAAGCAATATTCCTGAGAAATTTTCCAAGTTCAAAGGGACATTTCACTGCCAAGAAGGGTTACAGACTGCCAAGAAGCGAACTCGGTGCATGACTTTTGACCAAGAACTCATATACAAAATTGCATTTTCATAACTCAAAGCATAACCAAAGGAAGCCAAGAAAACAATATTCCCTGAGAATTTTCTAAGTTCAAAGGGGCATAACTCAGTCAAGAAGGGTCACAGACAGCCAGGAATCACACTTAATCTGTACCCTTGCAACAAGAAGCCATATACTAAATTTCATTTTGATAACTCAAAGCATAAGCCAAAAAAGTCCAGAAAACAATATTCCCAGGAAATTTTCTAAGTTGAAACGGGCATAACTCTGTAAAAAATGGTCACAGACAGCCAGGAATCAAATCAATCTGGACATGGATCACTAGCAGTGCATTCTGGTCATATAATTTTAGATTCCATATCTTGCTACAACAGAAGAGTACCTTCAGGACAATTAAATTAATTCTAATGATGTAAATATTTGTTGGTTATACCAGTGGCAAAATATAAGTTGTATGAGGTGTACAAGCCTGAGATATAAGTTTAGGCTTATGAAGCCTGGGTTACCCTCCAATGTAAACCTTCAAGTATGACACAAACATCTACTCTTGTTTCTTTGAATGTTAGCCTTGCCGGTAGAATATGCATAATATCTTCAAATGTGTTAGTTCATATGTTTAGAGGTCAACCTTCACACTTGAGTAAATGTCATACTTACTGTCGTATCCCTCTAGGGGTCTGACCAATCAGAACTTTTGAATTACCAATCACTTCAACTCTAGATCTGGCAGCACCTGGGCTAACAGTTGTCCTGTTTTTTCCACGACCTTTATTTTTTGGAGGTGGAATTTCTTCCTCTGATGATGACTGCAACAAAAATGGATTTAAGTTTTTGTATCAATGCCTTCTTGTAGTGTGGTGATAAAACACATAAACTAATATATAAAAACTCTACTTATCCAACACAACATCTAGTTATAATACATCAATCATATACAAGATATGATGGAAGAATGTATTACAAACTCTTATACTGAATAAACCATATGAAGTTCAGAAAATATTGGTAAATATAAATATTTTGATATCAATTTGAAATTTAGTCGAAATATAGGCATGACACTACAACAAATGCTTAATCCATGATATGAGCAACAAATCCATTACATGTAGCTTAAATGACTGAATTCTTCAAATCATACGCAACTTTTTATAGATCGCAAATGTGTGTGTAACAAATGTAGATCATACAAAAAAAAGAGACACATGGATAATCTGCAAATAATACTGTACCAAGTGTATATTCATAATATAATTACTGGAAACATATGCAAGACCTATCCCAGTACGGCATCTCTCTGATCCCAGGACTCCAGGTTTTGTCCAGAGGTGCCTACTACAGATATTTTTTTTCAGAAGCATAGACAGTCAAATGAACCATGGTTAAAAATAAATGATTTTGAAATCCTAGGGTCATGTAGATGTTTTACTGGTAAGAACATTTTAGAATAATCCTGACGATGACTTACATCAGAGAACGGAGCACAATAAGCAGCTGGGATTTGTGAATTCTGATGCAGTTCATACACGTCCTGAATAGCACATTTAGTCATGTGATCCTCTGCTTTGCTGCTTCCAATCACCTTCTTGTTCTGATGAACATGAATAACACCACATTTCTCTGTAGATATACCACAAAATAAAAAGAAATTATTTGACAAGCCTAGCCCTGCTTTTTCCTGAAATGCATAAATTTACTTATTAAACCCAAAAAATTTAAACTTAAAATTCCGGTCATTATGAAAAACTTCTTTAAAACTGAAATCAAAACAGTACTTCTAAGCATGTGCAAAAAAGTATTACAAAATCTATAACAATTCCACTGAGAAAAAAAGGAGCTTAGCAGGTACTTACTATTGCAATTTCACAAAGAAACAAGGGAGATTATTAATTATTCATAAATCTATTAAACTTCCACTGAGAAAAAAGGCTGTTTAGCAGGTGCATACTATTACATTTTCACAAAGAAACAAGGGAGATTATTAATTATTCACAAATCTGTGTATACGCGAATGGGTATTGGTGTAGGAATTCATAAATCTGTTATATTCCCACAGAACAGCTGAGGGGAATTCCACATAATCCCGACATCCTTACCATGCTCTTGGAAAATCAAATGTTTGAAGTACATGATCAATTAAGCATATTTAATTCCCAAATTATTAGACAATGCTTTACCTACCAAATACAGCTCCCACAGAGGAAAAGCTGGGATTAGATCTGGGCAGCTGATCATGGTCACCATCAACACTGTCAAACTGAGCACTGTGACAATCGGGATTAACCTTTGACCTCTTTACTAATTTTGACTTGCTGACTCTGACTTTCTCTACTTTGGAAGTTGCCTTCTCCTTGCTGGTTGTCTCTGTTTGACCAGGTAAAATTATCAGAGATTGTTTTAGTGAAACTTAACAGTCTACAACTAAATTATACATATGAACTCTTTAAGCAGACAAGCTTTTTTATGCAAGAGAGTCAAAAGACCTTTAAAAAAAAATCAAAATTAATCCTGTACAAACAATTACATCATTTACAACCAAAGTCTAAGACTTAAAATTTTAACATGTTGATCAGGGGCCCTTTCTTCACACTGCTGCCACTTCAACCTGTGACAAGGCTATTCTCATCCATCAGATACAGCAATCAGACCACTGCTTCAATACCAAGTAACTATACATACACACAGATAGTGTGGTGACTAGAAGTTTTAATACTTAATGATTTTGATTATGATGAGCACAGTACAATACAGGTCAACTTCTCAGTACTTCTATAAATAGACCAGGATTCAATTTCATTGCAGTTACTAGACAAGTTTTTTATTCAAGCTAAATTTACTGTCCAATAACATAAAAGAAAATAATATTTCCTGTCTCCTATCACTGTCTCACTAGTACCTACCCTCTTTGTCCAAGTAATCTACCTCCATCTCTCCAGCTGAGTCATCCAGCATCACATCACTGATGGCTTCCTCATCACTAACAATAGGTAAGTCCTTGCTAAAGTCAGATTCATCCTCCTTTTCTTCTACAGACCCAGCTGGAATGTACTTGGCTAAGTCATACCCTGCCAGACCTCGTTCCAAGTTAGAATTTCTCTATCAAAGTTAAGTTTGAATGTCTTTCAGAATGAATTCACCTTTTTTTTCAATTCTGCACCTCAATCACATACCGTATTTATTCCAATAAACGCCCCATCTCTAATAAACGCCCCCCACCTGTTTTCTCAGTAAATTTCAACAACTCAGGAGTCAGGTTACTAAGCTTACCTTTTAATAAATTTTAAATTCCTGGTATCCATGAACATGAACAAATGAATTTTGGCACAAGAAAATTACACTGTCACGACATGTACACAAGTAATATCAATTTAATCCATGGTTCATTTCAATATACTGCAGGCCTAACGGCCGGGACTGCCGTACGAACTATTGTCTTCACTTTCACTTTCACTTTCGCCAGTCTCGCTTTCACTCAGTTCTATTTGTGGAATAGAAGGTGCGTTCACATCACCCATTAAATTTTGCAAAACGTCATCTGCAGCTTGGACATCCTTTTCACTAAACCCCTGGAATTCCTCATCGTCAGAATCATGCTGGAAAATATGATCCTCGCTACCGTCCAGCGAATTTGTGATACCGCATTTTTTGAACGATCTTCTGATTGTGTCCGGGCTAATGCTATCCCATGCTGTCTTGACCCAAGACAACATTACAGCTTTAGATGGGGCTTTACGATTCCCTGCTTTGGTTTTCTCAATGGGGCCACTGAAACACCATTCATCATACAACTCTCCAAGTTTTTGTTTGAAGGGTTTATTCCACGACACATCGGCTGGCTGTAGCTTACATGTACATCCTCCGGGTATAACACAGATGTCTGAATTATATTTTTGACGAACCAGTTTTTTTACATCTTCAGTAAGATGACCACGGAAAGCGTCCCATACTAATAACCGCCTAGCTGTATTATTCACAACCCAGAGTTTTTTTAACCAAAATTTTATACTTTCCTCGTTTGCCCAGGATTTTTGTCCGGCCCCGCACATGTATACCACAATACCACTTGGTATGTCATCTTTCGGAAGGGGACGAATGCCTGGCATGTGCACAAGGGGGGCGATTTTAGTCCCATTGGCATATGCTGCCAGTGTCACCGTTATTTTTTGTTTTTCGTGGCCAGTACTGTAAACTCTGACCTCCTTTTCCCCCTTTATTGCCAATATCGATTTTCCTGGCATGTCAAACCACACCAGGGTTTCGTCCATGTTAGCGATATGGCTATCGGGGTATTCTTGTAGCCGACGCATTCTTAACACGAAATTAAAAAAACTGTCAATACGACCATCAATTAATGAAACTTCATGTTGTGCCACATGCGTAGATCGCCTGAACGAAATGATATGTCTCTTTTTGAATTTAGAAAACCATCCATATGAGGCTTTGAACGATTGACTACCATTTGCCTTATGCATACGCAGGGCCTCAAACCGCAATGCTTTCCCAGTCACTCGTATTCGGGCCTCCCGTCTGTCCTGTAGCCATCTCATCAGATTTTTGTCAATATCTTCATATCTGACATGCCTCCCATCTCCTTTACAGCGTTTAGATGTTTTAGAAAGATTTTTTAATTTTTCTTTGTTTTGACACCAGTCCCGCACTCGTTTTTTGTCAACACGAAACACTTTTGCAGTGGCATGTTTACCCTTCTCCACTGCGAAGGCGATTACTTTAAGCTTGAAAGCAGTGTCGTAATTTCGTTTTGTCCCAGACATTGTTATCGGGTATGTCGGATTTATTAAGAAACAGACTGGCTTATATACCGCTGTGTTTTTTTATTTTGTTATGCAAACTAGGCCTACAAGCGATGATGAACATTGTACGTTTTTGACTGAAGCTGACACGATTGACATCGTGTCATTTCATACAAGAATTCAGGTTATCAGAATGCAACTGACAACAATGTTTAAAGCTACAACGATGTTGGAATTACTGCAATTTTCAAATGCATTCTTTGCCGAGTAATTCGTTTTTAGTTAAAAGTGGCAGCCATTGCATGTCACGACCAACAAATTATGAAATTTTGTGTTCTATTAATCGCCCCCTTATTGGAATAAATACGGTACATGTGTATTATTTGTATATATCAGAACATGTACAACATTAACTCTAATGGTATCTGTCAAGAAAGAACGGCTAACAAAAATAACCAATAAACTAATACATATATAACTAAAGAGAACTAGAGAGACCTACAGAACAACAGAGTATTATTATGTATTATCTATAGAATAAATCGCTGCTGTGTATTTACACAGTCTACAGAGCCAAACAGTGCATGGTTTCAAATGATTCCCCAAGAAACCTGAAGCATAACAAAAAAAATTCCAAGAAAAGACTTACTTTTCCTCAGTACTTACTTTACCAGTGTTGCAGGCCAGGTGAGCTAAAAATTAAGTTCAACAAATTATTCCTACCTGCAATATATCCACAGTCAAACATCTGTCTCCACTATGCAGCTTAAACATGTTTTTCACACCAAAGAGTTCGCCTTTCTGGTCATTGTCACCAGAAATAGCATTGAAATATCTCTTTGCATTCAGTGTTCCCACAGCAACACTGTCCAGTTGCTGGAATCAAAAGAAGTGTATATTAGAAACTTTGATATCTAGAAAAAAAAAAATACTAAAGCAAATATTTCGTTCATTGTCAAATTCTGGCTATCCCAGTTTTCTTCAATAAGCCTTATGGTTTACTTACCTATTTGTACATCTGTAACAAGTACATGGGATCCTGTATGTAAATCACTTAAATATTCGCAAACCTTCCTTCGCAAACTCACCTCTGCAGACATATTTACGAATACATGATTTCGTAGACACTGGTTTAGAAATGAGTTTGAATTCGTGAATGATGAGCTATTCAAGATATAAACTGTGGAAAGCTCCTATATTGACAACCCATAGCAGCATATTGGCCACCATTTTGCTTATGAAAGTCATGTGACATGATTGGTCACGTGATACATGTTATGTCCATACTGAATTGTATTTACCTGAGTACAGTCTAGTATGCAGACAAAAAACTGGAAGGTAAACATTTCACATGCTATAATGTTTAAAATGTGAAGTGAGTTGCTTTCAAAGTAAGATGACATGACTTCAAAAGGCCAGTCATATTAAGCAGTGTTTAAGGTTAATTTTGCAACGTGTTTTTACCAAATAGTCAACCAAGCAGTAATTTCCGTGATGGTTTTCCTATTGTTTATTTTGTGATTTAATAAAATAGATATTTTCATGTTATAAACTCAGTTCTTGAGAATATTTTAGCACCTTCCAACACAAAAATAGCAACAGGAATTTACAATTATATCTATTAAGGCATGTGTGCTCCACCTCCACCTCTAACTTTTGATTCGTATCCGTACATTTGATTGACAATATTGTGTGATGTTCTACCCTCAGCAATACAGTGATGTCATTTAAAAGTACAGAGTTCTAAAGATGTTAGAATATGAACGTAACATAAGTCTACTAGATTTGTTTGTGATATGATAAAATATGTAAAAATTCAGCAGAAGTGTAAACAGAAGTAACAGTAGGTTAATGATGGAATAACAATGATTTTATCAAGTGATTTATACAAATAATCACAAGAGATTTGAATATGTGATTAGCTCATCTCACATGTAACACAATAATAAATATCATGTGATTTATAAGTGATTTAGATTGTTTACCTGTGTGTACAGCTGTGTCACTTATATGTGGTTCTATGTATGACTTACCTGTGTGTACACCTGTGTCACTTACATGTGGTTCTATGTATGACTTACCTGTGTGTACACCTGTGTCAGTTACATGTGGTTCTATGTATGACTTAACTGTGTGTACACCTGTGTCAGGTACATGTGGTTCTATGTATGACTTACCTGTGTGTACAGCTGTGTCACTTACATGTGGTTCTATGTATGACTTACCTGTGTGTACAGCTGTGTCACTTACATGTGGTTCTATGTATGACTTACCTGTGTGTAAACCTGTGTCAGGTACATGTAAAGACACCTGTGTGTACAGCCTGTGTCAGGTACATGTAACATCATGTAATGTGTGTCACCTGTGTCAGTTACAAATCACCCGTGTGTACACCTGTGTATCAATGCGGTTCTATGTATGACTTACCTGTGTGTACACCTGTGTCACTTACATGTGGTTCTATGTATGACTTACCTGTGTGTACAATGTGTCAGTTACAGAGGACCTGTGTGTACACAGTTAATAATTGAACTGTGTGTCACCTCCTCTGTATAGCCATCATCTGTATCTACAGCTGATCCCTTTACCAGTTCAGTCCAAGATATATTTGGTAAAAATTGTATGTGAAAGTACTTAATTCACCTTAAGGTTTTGATAATACACACAAATATCTGCCAAGGTCATGCTTCAAAATGTTTCAAACATGTAAAGAAAAGGACAGATGGACAAACAAATGCTATAACTTGTGCAAGGACTGACAGACAGACAATCTGATGGCCAGTGCTATAACACTTGTACAGGGACAGACAGATGGACAAACTGATGGCAAATACTATAAACCTTGTACAGGGACAGACAGATGGACAAACTGATGGCAAATACTATAAACCTTTACAGGGACAGATATATGGTAAAAAACTGAAAGATGGCAAATACACACTATAAACCTTGTACAGGGACAGACAGATGGACAAACTGATGGCAAATACTATAAACCTTGTACAGGGACAGACAGATGGACAAACTGATGGCAAATACTATAAACCTTGTACAGGGACAGACAGATGGACAAACTGATGGCAAATACTATAAACCTTGTACAGGGACAGACAGATGGACAAACTGATGGCAAATACTATAAACCTTGTACAGGGACAGACAGATGGACAAACTGATGGCAAATACTATAAACCTTGTACAGGGACAGACAGATGGACAAACTGATGGCAAATACTATAAACCTTGTACAGGGACAGACAGATGGACAAACTGATGGCAAATACTATAAACCTTGTACAGGGACAGACAGATGGACAAACTGATGGCAAATACTATAAACCTTGTACAGGGACAGACAGATGGACAAACTGATGGCAAATACTATAAACCTTGTACAGGGACAGACAGATGGACAAACTGATGGCAAATACTATAAACCTTGTACAGGGACAGACAGATGGACAAACTGATGGCAAATACTATAAACCTTGTACAGGGACAGACAGATGGACAAACTGATGGCAAATACTATAAACCTTGTACAGGGACAGACAGATGGACAAACTGATGGCAAATACTATAAACCTTGTACAGGGACAGACAGATGGACAAACTGACAGTGATTATTATAAAATACAAGAGATCCTAGATAAATAAAATCTGAAAATTCCTTTTAAGAAAATACAAAAATGTTCTTTACTAGTCAAACCAAAGATGGTTGCATGTTAGCCTTTTATTATTTCTTTTTTTACTTTTCTTTTGATAAGCACCAACATAAAAATGGTACCGGGTAATAGCAAACTTTCAGTTCAAAATCTATGTTGATCCATCCACTACTCTGAAAAGACCCAAAATCAAAAGGGGACAACTAGGGACCAATATAAACCCACATATGAAATCCGAAAGATAATCGTCCAGTACTTTTCAAGAAATTGTGATAACAAACATTCATAGTAAAACTCCAAGAGAGCCCACTGTCAGCCATTTTGTTTTTCTGATCAGTTCCAACATTAAAAAGGCAAAACTAGAGACTAAGAGGAACTACATATGGAATTTAAGTAAGAACCATCCAGTACATCTCAAGAAAAGGTGCTGACAGCTTTCAATGTCATAATTGATGATGGCTACCTATCAGCCATTTTATTTTTCTCATCAAACCCAAAATCAAATGGCACATCTAAGGACTAAGGGAAACCTTCATATAAAATTTGAGAAAGATCCATCCTGTAGTAACCAAGACACAGACTTAACAAGAATTACTAAAGGACTGACCACGGAGGAACAGATATATGCATGGAACATGAACAACATGCAATATGAAGAGCTAACTGATAATGGTGGGCTAACAAAACCTGTACACGGATGGACAGATAGACAAACTGATGAATACTAAAAACTACCAATAAACATATTGAAATGTCCAGCTGCAAAATGATAGTTTGATGATCCATTTAAATACTCTCTATTTAAAAACTAATCAAACCTGATATCAAGATGTGATTCAAAATTTGCTTAATCTGAAAATCTGCCGATATGACTTGATAAACAAGTTTCACACATATAAAGGAAAACATGTGTTACCTAGTGCTCAGTACAACACTAACCTGTCCTGAGCCTGAAGATCATGGGTTGGATTCCAATTTGGGTCAAATATTATCACTCTGTTAGCACCAGTAAGGTTAAGGCCAAGTCCACCAGCTCTGAAAACAATGAAAAAGTTAAATAAGATCAGATGTTAGAACAACAATGAACAATTACTACAAACACAATGTACAACTATCATTTCAACAATGTACAACTTTTACTTCAACAATGTTCTACTTAATTGGTAAAAATAAGGTAGAATGTCTACTTGCTTTGCTAGATGAGATAGAATGTCTACTTACTTTGTAGAAATGAGAAAGATGAAGATGGAGGAATCCCTGTTGAATTCCCGAACCAAGTCCATGCGTTTCTTAGCACTGGTGCTGCCATCTAGTCGTCGATATTCGTAACCTGTAGTCATCATGTACTGTTCTAGGATATCGAGTACCTAGAAAGTAAAGTAACTAACAATGGGTTCCTCGCTGAGGGGTTGTTGTATCACTAATTAGCTTACTAGGGGCTCCACAATAAGGGGTTGTTATATCACTGGTTAGCTAATTGAGGGCTCCTCACTTTGGGGTTGTCATACCAACAAGGGGCTCCCAAAGTAGGGGTTGTCATATCACTAGTAAGTAAACTATAGGGGGTCTTAAATAAGGGGTTGTCATATCACTGGTTAGCTGACTAAGGGCTCCTCAATAAGGGGTTGTTGTATCACTGGTTTGTTAACTATAGGAGCTCTTCAGTTAGGGGTTGTCCAATGACTGATTAGCTAACTAGGGTCTCCCAAAGCAGGGGTTGTCATACCACTAGTAAGATAACTATAGGGGTGCTAAATCAGGGATTGTTGTATCACTGGTTAGCTGATTAGGGACTCCTCAATTTGGGGTTTTCGTACCTGTAGTGTCACTAGTTTAGTAAGTAGGGGATCCTTAATTAGACATGACATGCCTTCTCATACATATATGTATTCAGAAAAAGTATATAGTCATTGTTAATTAATTAAACATGACATTCCTTCCTCTCATACATATATGTATTCAGAAAAAGTATATAGTCATTGTTAATTAATTAAACATGACATTCCTTCCTCTCATACATATATATGTTCAGAAAAAGTATATAGTCATTGTTAATTAATTACAACCTTGGTGAGGATCACAGACTACTGGATGACCCGATAGCCCTTCAGTCTTTAGTAGTCGAGTACTTACCTTTGTACTGTAGGAGAAAAGAAGCACCTTACTATGGTCCCTGCTGAATACAGACAGCAGTCCCTTCAGGATCTGGGAAAGGGTCAAAGGTCAAAATTATTATCAAGTACCAAAAAGATCTGTCATCTTGTTAAGTAAATCAACATCACACTAATTACAACAAGTAATCAATGTATAAATCTGATACTGACAGTAACATGCTTTTTGTACGGAATATTCTACACATCCAACTCAACACAACCTACAACGGCACAATAAACAATACAGCTTGCAGCATAGAAATAGTTCGCCGTGAAAACTATAATTATACCAGTGTATAGCTACAAGATGTTACCTTCATCTTGCCGCAGTATTTTGGGTCCGACAAAGTACGGAATGCAGCTTCTCTGGTTTCACTGAAGAACTCAGGAAATTTTTCTCGGATATACTTGATCACTTCTTTGGAGAATTCCGTTAGCTGTCGATCAGACTTGCTAGAAGGTACTAATAGTGCCACATGGTTTGCTATTTTCAACAGGATGTGCATGAAAGTGAATCGAATCTGCCTGGTAGACAAGCCATCTGGGGTCTTCTGTGAAATGCAATGAAAGAAATTCAAAAACAACAATCATTGCATGATAAAGAACACATCTTTTGTATAAAGCTGCACTCAAGGAAATACTCCAACTTAACTCTCACATGTTTTGATGTTTTGCCAATAGGATGAAAATAGTAAGTGGACTAAATTTAGATAATAAAACTGAAACATATGTTTTATGTATTTTGGGGTTAAATTAACGCTGGGTGAAAATTAGCAGTTTTAATAGAGGGCAAGAAAAACCTTAGAAAGACATTGTTTTCTTTATATACAGTAAACAATGCTTTCTTTAAGATAAAGATAATTTACTCTATGATATTAAACAGATTTAATATGCAAGGAAAGTTGATGTGTCGATAATTAATGTTTTATTTGAAGCAAAAGCACTATTCATCTGGCACTTCTTTCACCTATTCTATTCCGCAAACAATGTCTTACAAATGAGATTCATTTTATTCTTTCATGTTCTTGTCTTTTAAATGTATAATCATGAATAACCAAGACTGAAACTCTATGTTAATTAATAACTGACTCGTAAACTTGGTGCAAACAATGCATCTGCCAAATTTCCCTATCAATCGCTGAGAAAATGAGCTTAGGGAAGGTTTCTTGAAATTTCCAATTGCTATAACTGGAAAAATATATTTATGTCAAATGGTTTAATATGCCATCCAACCAAACCAAAAGTTTTCTTAGTTCATGAGCCATGATTGTGGAAAAAAATGGCTGCACAAAAACAAATATAATGCAACTACAAACATATTTTTGGTTCAATATCTCCATCCACTGAAGAATAAATTAACAGAAACCATGATGAAATGATGGCTGAATTGACACTGTATGACCCAAAGGTTACTTATATAACAGAGACATAAAATTAAGCATCTATAATGATGAGAGGTGATATTTAAATTAATACTGACATTGTGGCAGCGTCCTTTGATAATGTCACTTCCACAGTCACATGGTTCATCCATATCCAACACAAACCTCATTCCAGGGTGGGCAAGTACAGCACGATAAACCGATGTCTGAAACTCTGTCAGCTTACAAAACACTATGTTGTCATCTGGAATCAGGAAAGACTGGTCAGAATGAATGAAAAAGGTAGGAGTCAATGTGTATGAGACAGGTCAGAGCAATGCGAAAGAGACAGGTCAGTGTGTATGAAACAGGTCAGAGTAAATGTGAAAGAGACAGGTCAGAGTCAGTGTGTATGAGACAGGTGAGTGTCATTTTACATCAGACAGGTAAATCAATGCATATGAAATTGGTCAAAGTCAAGGTGAATGTGATGCAGGTCTGATCAGAGTTAATGTGCTGTAGAAAGTCACAGCAAATATTTTTTTATTTGAGTCGATGTATGTGTAACAGATATGAGTCAATGTGTGTTAGAGAGGTTACAGTGAATACCAGGTACGTTTCGATTTGAGTCCATGTGTGTGTGACAGGATGAAGTCAATGTGTGTGAGAGGTCACAGGCAATATGTTTTGATATGAGCCAACGTGTGTGTGACAGGGTGAAACCAATGTGTATGTGACAGATATGAGTCAATGTGTGTGAGAGGTCACAGGCAATATGTTTTGATTTGAGCCAACATGTGTGTGACAGGGTGAAATGATTGTGTGTGTGAGACAGGGTGAAACCAATGTGTGTGACAGATATGAGCCAATGTGTGTGTGACAGATATGAGCCAACGTGTGTGTGACAGATATGAGCCAACATGTGTGTGACAGATATGAGCCAATGTGTGTGTGACAGATATAAGCCAACGTGTGTGTGACAGGGTGAAATGATTGTGTGTGTAACAGGGTGAAATGATTGTGTTTGTGACAGGGTGAAATGATTGTGTGTGTGACAGGGTGAAATGATTGTGTGTGTAACAGGGTGAAATGATTGTGTGTGTGACAGGGTGAAATGATTGTGTGTGTAACAGGGTGAAATGATTGTGTGTGTGACAGGGTAAAATGATTGTGTGTGTGACTGGGTGAAATGATTGTGTGTGTAACAGGGTGAAATGATTGTGTGTGTGACAGGGTAAAATAATTGTGTGTGTGACAGGGTGAAATGATTGTGTGTGTAACAGGGTGAAATGATTGTGTTTGTGACACTCAATCATAATATACAAGACAGGTGTCAATGAATTGTTGATCAATAGTTGAGTAAATTAAAGCATTCTAGTTGTAGGAGAGAATGTTCTGGCAGAATAGATCACTTTTGTTGGTTAATTAGTCATATCACGCTCTAGTTATTGTAGAATATGCTTTGACAGAGTTTGACTTATTATGTTATGTTTTGGAGAAGACTCTGTCTGATTACTGTAAGTAAACTTGTTTGACCAAGTGGATTTTCCCTGGGTACTCTGGTTTCCTCTTACAATAAGTTGAAATAACTTGTTTTGCAATACTTGTAAATTGAAACTGAGAGTCCGATTTACCTTTATTAGGGAGCTGTTCAGATATCAAATCTTTTGTCCTTCTTAGTAACATTCTGCTTCGCCTTTCTCCAAACTCTAGATTTTCTGCAATAAATTGCACATTACAAATGTTTGGATAAACACTGTCGAATGTTGGACAACTACTATCATGATAAAAATTTTAAAACAAAACTGAAAATTCTGTAAAAAATGATTATTTTATTGCTAACACAATGCTTTCTTTCATTTTTTAAGAAAACATTTTTGAAACTTGTCTCCGATCTGGACACTTATTTCTGACAAACTGTTTTTATAAAAGTACCTGGTACCATCAAAGTACAATGCAGTCGCTTCATACATAATGTAGTAAAGTGTGAGTTAGACCACAGGAGTTTGACATTGTATCAATACCTGATATATAACCTGTAAACATTATGTCTATATCACATGATATAAATTGGCGTAAGCTGTTTAAAGAGAAACTATAAAATTTAACAGCAGCTTGTCAAACTGCTAAGACTGGACAACATAAAGCACATTGCAAAACAATTTATCATAACAATGTAACAAATGTTTACTTTTTCTCCCAAAAGCCAGCTCTCTTTTCGTAGCCATTTTCTTCTGGCCCTGTTCAATAGGGTCCACATAATCTTCCTTGAAATCTGATAGCATTCCAAGGCATCCAGGCTGGGCCCTTTAAATTAAAGAACATAAATATCAACAAAATATTTACAAAGCACAGCATTTATCCCGCTCAAAGTCAGGGGGTGGGCTTATTATCATTTACTGACAAAGCACCAGTGATATCAAAGGAGACTGCTCTGATGACTTTGTATGATCCTTACCAGTCGAGGATGCTCCAGAGTTCTATCATACTGTTTTGAAGTGCTGTCCCTGTCAGTCCAAATCTTTTCATACATTTCAACTTTCTTAGAGATTTTGTTATCTGAGCTTTCAAACCCTGTCAATGAAAAGTACAAAAATGTACAAGACAGCCTAATTAGGGTTCATACTGACATCTACAGGTATATAAGCAATTTCCAATCGTGTTCAAGGAATATCTTGTCTACCCTATTACACTGTCACTATCTAATGGATGGAAGATGTGCTGAAGAAAACATTGTTTTAAGTTGACGATCCGATGATAAAAATACTACTTAACAATGATCTGACAATTATCTGTTAGTTTTATGATACGGACAGGACTATATACAGAGGCTGGTTGTACCTTGATCTTATGGACCTCATCCACAAAAACAGCATCCCATGGTATATCATTCAGCTCTCTCTGTCAATATAAATGATGATGATAATACTTGATATATAAAACAGAAAAACTTTAATTACAGACACTTAAAACTTATAAGAATTCCAACAATGTTTCATGAGTTTACGTGTCAAAACTTTATCAGAAATGACAACAAGTGACTTTATCATATATACTCACACATTATCACAGAAAATTATTACAGATTAACACAGGCAATCATCTAATAATTAATAATTAATTAATTGGAGATTAACACAGGAAGTTATCTAATCACAGATTAACACCGTAAAAGACACCAACTTACACAATGATCATATAATATCTAATTACCCAATTATCACGGAAGGTCTCATAGGTAGTCACAACCACTTCATACTTTCCACGCTTCGTATCAGATAGACATGTAATTTTTTCTGTTGCATGATATTTTCTGTCAAAAAAAAACACAAACAGCAGATTTAGCATCAAGGTTTGTACTGTGAATATGCAATCAAAATGAATATGTCTTACACACAGAGCATGTCAAAAGTGAAATGATCGCCTATACATAAAAAATAGACTTATTTACACGAAGGACACATTGTCTGTCACACTCGAAGAATACTAATACACATCTTACCCTACAGTAAAGTAACCCCACACCTCCAGTTCATCCAGCCAGTTATATAATACACTCCCTGGACCAATGATCAAAAATGGTCCATGTTCAGGATCTCTGTTACTGTCTGATAGAGACACAGCATCTGACATCTGGTGAAACACAGAAATAACATAATTTACATAAGAATAAATTTTCTGACTTAAACTTTTCTGCAAAACTTAACAAGGATTTTTTTATATCAGAGAGACAAGGCTTGTTTAATACTCTCTTTCAGACATAGTGAATTCAGCTGATATCAACAGAGTCATTGTCTACATCCCATTCCGTTATCAAAGATCACAACAGAAATCAACAAGCTGTTCTCATAACATTCATTTCATCACATTTGTCAGTGATAATCAGATTTTCAGCATATGATCAGCATCTGGCAAATTTCTATCATACCTGTACATATCTGATAAACTAGATCTCACCTGTATATATCTGACAAATTACATCTTACCTGTACATATGACAAATTAGATCTCACCTGTACATATCTGACAAATTACATCTTACCTGTACATATGACAAATAAGATCTTACCTGTACATATCTGACAAATTACATCTTACCTGTACATATGACAAATAAGATCTTACCTGTACATATCTGACAAATTACATCTTACCTGTACATATGACAAATAAGATCTTACCTGTACATATCTGACAAATTACATCTTACCTGTACATATCTGACAAATTACATCTTACCTGTACATATGACAAATAAGATCTTACCTGCCTGATGAACTTCGGCTTCTGCTTCTGTACATCTATTCTATTTCCCTTCTTGTGTAATAGAGCTGACAGCAAACCAATCACCTACAGGATTTGATATTGACTTTTACAGACGTTTCAACAGATTTCAACAGGGAGTACAAAACTTTATTTGAGTAACCATCAATTTGATGAGTTATAGAAATCCAAACACAAAGGATTCTTCCTCCATCGTTGTCAGCACACATTTAAAGACTGATCAGAATTGTTTATCACAATTTACAACAATACACCAATTGCACCGTAACACATCTGAATTATCTACCTTATGTCTGATTGTTTACCTGAACAGTTTTTCCGAGGCCCATATCATCACCAAGGATTGCTCCTCTGTCCTGCCTGTAGTGACTGTACAGAAACTTGATCCCATCTCGCTGGTAGTCTCTCAAGTATCGGTTGATTGTTGCTGGTACCTAGTATAGTGAAGGTTGTAAAATAGTGTAATTGACTCAAACAAAGTACAATAGGGCAGAACAATATATGCCTGAACATGCCAAAGAATTATTCAGAATTTGTTGTAAGTAAAGGGATGTATGTCAAGACGGAACACTGTGCTCTGTTTTAATGATAAATCAAAGCATCTCCTGAAATAGTGTGATGTGTGGTATTAAAATGTTGGTTGGTACAATGTGCACACATTAATGACATAATTTCATTGGAATTGCCTCATAACAATGCACTAGAAGGAATTACATAACAACTACTTTAACACCCACCAAGGTGTTAGTCAAGGAACTCCCATTTTATAAGAAATCAATTTCGAGACTAACTTTTCCCTATTAAGCTTCTAATACCCATATCTATTTATGGTTATCATATTTTGAAATTCCAAGTGGGGGCTGATGCTAATGTTAAATTCCCATATATGTTGACCCCCACTTTTGAAAGAGATTGTCGGAAAACTGTTAGCAATCTCTGGATAAAATAAAAGGGATACTCCGCACAAGTTTGGATTTCAGAAGCTGTTTTTAAAAAATTGTACAATATTATCTACTTAAGTTCTTATGGACATTATACATCTCAATTTATCATTTAAATAAACATATTTAATTTGCCAAAATCTGTTATAGATCTAACAAGATCAATTTACAAACATTTGCTCAGCCCTGATTCCATTACAACACAACCTTTTTTTCAAAATTGTAAAATCACAATGACAATAAGGAAAACGCCATTTTATAAATTGGTTACAAAGCCTACCAAGTGTTAGAAAAATGGTTAAAAACTGAGTAAGTATATCTTCACATGGAATTAAATTGCTAATAAAAGGGCAATAACACCTTCAAAAACTGTTGAATCAAACAGCTGTGAAGAAAAGCATCACTTGATGATGATTCAAGCCTACAAAGCTTGAAAGAAATCAGTTAGAAAATAAGAGAGGTCTCTGGATAGGGTTAATGTCATGAAAACAATAAAGGGCAGTAACTCTTCCAAATACTGTCAAATCAAACTACTGTTTATGAAAACAAAACTTCATGTCATAGTGATTAAGTCTACCAAGTTTGAAACCAATCAGTCAAAACTGAAGGAGTTCTCTGAACAGATAAAGTTTACAACATAGGATGGACAGATAGACAATACCATACCATAATATGTCCCATGAAATTTTTTGATGAGCATGTAACAAAAATGCTTCAGAGGAGTAAAGCATCAAACACCATCATTGATTTAATTCATACACTTACTTTTACTGTATAGAGATCTATTCTGGGATAACAAAACCAATGACAACATCTGGATTTTTATACATAGTAGTCTTGTCAGGTAACCTAAGTGTTGTTTAATGCAAGATAAAAACACAATGTCGATAAAGGTTAGTATGAACACCACCTGATCATAGTGAATAAATAGTTCATTTTCACACCCATCATCACTTACTTCTATAGGATGTACACCAGAATTACCAGCTGACAGTTGAAATGGTATCTTGGCTGCTGCAGGGGTAAACTTAAACCTGGGTTTCTCCAGTTCTTGTTCATCAAATCCTGTAGACAACATAGCAAAAACATTAACACTACATGTAGACATCCCATAATGTGGATGTTATACCATGTGACTGACATGTAATAGAACATGTTATATACATAAACATAGGCTAAGTGGAGCAGATAAAACAGATATTAATGTTTGTATATATATGTAAGCTCAAAGGACAGTAAGACAAACATTTCCAGTCATTTCTATTCATTTTGCAGATAAATATGGGTGATTAAACCTTGAATTGGTGTCAGATGTAAAATTTTAAGTATTATGAAGGAGTTACAGTGCAGCGATCTTTTGAAGGTCATTAGCGCCACTTTTTTTGTGATATTGTAAACGATCAATTTCTTCACAAATCAAGATAAGTTTGCATCATTAACAGTTGTCATATAGACTCCATTTTACAATAAGAAATATGTATAATAACAGATGTATATTGTTGTTCTATGTTTACAAATTATGGTAACTGACCAATTAAAAGCTAGATCTCCAACAAGTTAGAGTGATGATTACTGACCATCACAACCTTCAGTCTCTCTGATTTCTTCCTCTTCATCAATCTCAGGCTCTACATCAAATTTCCTCCCCTTTGAGGTTGTGACTCCTGTCAATGATGACTCAGTGTGTGGACTTCTCAAGCTTTTTGCTGGTGTCGATGTATGTCCAACTGCGTCACTTCTATATGGCCTGACAGGTTTCTTTGGAGACCTGCCTGCCTTTTCACCTGATCTTTCTGATAATCGCTCATTTTTACTTCTGAAATAAAATACTGTATTACAGTTTGGATGTGAAATGAAGTTTTCAAGATGAAAATATAAAATAAATTATGTTTTCAAGATGAAAATAGAAGTAAAATTTTCATCGAGTGAAAAGATTAAGGTTAATATTTTGACACATTTTTGAGAAAAAAATTATCTTTCTTGAGTCCATTGTGGACTTCAGGAACAATAACTCTGATATTGATTGTCTAATAAACTATAAGAAACACAACAATCACCACACATCAACAAACATCACCATCAAATCAAACACACACAACATCCCTACAATCATCACATACCAATAGTCCATTACCCTAGCAGTTACCACACACCATCATAACAATCACAACACATCACCAACACATCACCATAACAATCACAACACATCACCAACACATCACCATAACAATCACAACACATCACCAACACATCACCATAACAATCACAACACATCACCAACACATCACCATAACAATCACAACACATCACCAACACATCACCATAACAATCACAACACATCACCAACACATCACCATAACAATCACAACACATCACCATAATAATCACAACACATCACCAACACATCACCAACACATCACCATAACAATCACAACACATCACCATAACAATCACAATACATCACCAACACATCACCATAACAATCACAGCACATCACCATGATAATCACAACACACCACCATTACACACCACCATCTCTATCACCACACACCATGACCACTATGATCACCACAAACCACCATAAAATCACTACACACCATTACCCTTAAAATCACCACACACAACCAACCTACAATCACCACACACCACTACACTCAACTCATCCTACACCACCACCCCCACAATTACCACAAACCTCCATCTCTACAATCACCACACTGCCATCCTTACAAATCACCACACACCTACAACCCTACAATACATAGTTACATACAGTCATAAGATTTACCTCTTCCTTTTCTGAAAGTCTACTTTGTTTTTAGGGGCCCCTTCCTCTCTGTTTTTAGGGGCCCCTCCCTCTGCCACCACTGCCTTGACCTTTTTCTTTGGTATACAGTAGTCTTCTTCCTCATCATCTGTGTCAGCATACTTATCACTGAGGAGATAAATGTTATTCTCATAAACTATCTATTTGAAAGGTCTGATATAGAAAAGGGGCTGAATAATTATATAGATTTAATGACAGTTAATAGTTCTTAGCCAATAATTACATACTTCTGTTGTTTGTGTTTACTTCTGATATATTATGTGATCAACAGAGGTTACACAACAAGTGGTTGTGGCACATGTATATGATATTTCTTTCACGCAATTTATTGTTCAGAAGTTACAAGAAACACAGGTTTTAGTATTTTTGAATTTTTTGGAATATAGCTAAAGAGACCAACTTATAAGATGTACTTAAACCACAAGTTTATATGATCTGTAAATGTTTCTTAGACGATAAAAAGATATTCCGACTTTGAATTGACCTGTTCTTTACCCAAGCATGTTTTGTTTACATCATCGTTTCGAGTGTTATGATATGACATTAAGTGAAAGGCAGCTAATTAGCATATAAAATTGACAATTTTAGAAACACCTGGAAATATTGTAATTCATTGCAAATTATAACCATATATAAATAGGTTTGTTATCTCCTAAAAAAGGGACAGAAATTGAAATATAAACTGAATTATTACAAAAACAATAGTGAACTACCTATTACACATTCAAATTTTCATGAATGTTTGAAGAACCCTTTTGGTCAAAGCTCCTCCTGTCAGCCAGTCAAAACATACTAAATATATACCCACCTATTATAGTAGAAATTAAATTATTAACACAAGTCAACAATAAAACTTGCTACTTTGAAATCATTGTGCTGAAATTATCAAATTAAAAAAAAAACACCTTGGTAATTTTCATAAATCCTTCTACAGGCAGTTTATTTTATTTTCATATCTGTCAAAATTCTTTCAAAATGTTTTTCAAATTTTAGAATCATAGTACAAAATATTTCAAAATATTGTGTCAATATTATAAAATGTCTTTTTTTAGAGGAAGAGAAAAGATATTTATAAATATTTTTGAGAAATATTTTTCCTGCCTAAATATATATTGTTTGGCTGAAAATAAACTGAAACACACTAATGCTTGCTCATATGTTTACCTTAACCAGGAAATCTGTTCTTTTCCATCCAGAGGCTGAAACAGGCTGTCACTATGACCAGCAGCTGGTTCTATAATACTAACATCTGAAAATATGAAATAGGATTGTTGTTTACACTTACAGTATATGAATATGTATTTCCAAAGCTGAAACTCAAACATGATATAATCCACTTAGAAATACAGAATAAGACTTACATTAAGGTTTCAGCTTGGTATGTCACCTATGATGTATCAACGATAACGCTAACCACTATGTATTGTAACAGCTGTGTTATAATTTATTCCTAGTTTTAAATTGATTTCAACTCAACTGAATGAGTATACTGTAACTCAACAGAGTTAATTTACATCGTGTACATTGTATTACAAAATTGTAGCAGATTGACATTCTTGACATTAGCCTCACTAAAATGAAACACTGCTAAACTAAAGGAAATAGAAACTCATGATCATATAAGAAAATCATTCACCTGGAAAAGTTTTTTTCTTGGAAATTTTCAGGAGAAAATTTACATCAACATCTTCATTGTCTTCTGATGAATAGCCATCAAAACATACAGTAGCAATCACATTGCTGTGTTTCCGTGTCAGCTTTCTTATTTTAGCTTTGTAGTATTCAGTATCCTTAGAATATGGGGCCATACATAGCTCTCCAACACTCCAAACTATTTGAAATAAAATAAAAATCATAACTTATTTCGAGCAGTATAATTTCAAATCAATTGTTGCCAAACATTTAACTGAAATTGACTCCTCTGAACTGAACCTACAAAAATTACTGCAAATTAGAGGTCCAATCAATCACTGACTTCTAATGACAATGGACATTACATAATAATTAATTAGTAGGAAAAAATTGGTACTACCTGAAAGGTCTTGTCACAAGGAACATGCACACATGCCAAATTATGAAAATCCTACCACTAGTTAAAGTGCAGTAGTTATAGGTAAGTTTAAAGATGACAACAGACTGCACACAACCTACCTTTCTCTACACCGTCTTCATCAGGTTCATACATTTGACACATCAATGATTAAGTATTTGTATAATATGGAAAAATTAGAACGGTGGTCCTTAGACCCACAAGCTTTGTCTACCATGCTAAAACACCAAAATGAAACTACCGGGGTTGTGTGAAGATAGAGCGGAACACGGCATGAAACACGGAACGACATACATTGAGAGACGGGTTTCGTCACAGAACAATTTCATATATAAGATACAGCATTTGAATTTCAAAAATCAGATGAATAGCTATTGTTCTAGACGAATAAAAAATACGAATATTCTTTTAAGTAATAAAAGCATATATCATATGCCAGGAAAGTACGTTATGATGAAATATATATGATTTTAAATCCATGCACCGATGCAGTAACATTGTACTCCATATAATTATTCCACAATTAAATTGCTTTCAACTTAATCAAGGTTTTAAAACCTTATACTTATTTACCAAAGGAAAAATAAACCAATCATTTTTTTTCGCTAATGAATAATTGGAAGAAATGAATCCGCGCACCGTTCTGCGTTTTCACAACAAATGTACTATTCGGTTTCTACTTGTATTATTTATCCATTTGTGTCGTATGGTCTGCGAAAAATAGTGTGAAAATTAATTGCAATTATTATAAAAGCACTTTGACCGTTTCTGAAGTATACAGGTGGATTCCGTGATATACTTAAATTGGGTTAAAAACAAGGTAATGAGTTCTCCCACGTAAATGTTATGACTATTTTGATTGGACAAGTGAAATAAGTCTTAACTAATCACATCTTTTGTTATAACAATGGCAACCCAAGTAAAAGGATATGGCTTACACTACGTACAACCTATGTATATGAAGAATTTATCTGATTTGCTGGTAAGATTACCGAAAATAGCCTCATCATTGTTATATACATGTCACATAAACACGATTCTATAATCCTCTCCGTAAAAATGTTTGCTTCACAACGTACTTCACCTGAATAATGGATTTCAGCTAAATGTTATATCCGCATGTATGTGCCTAAGTCGTTTACTTTCGATATTGTTCTTGATATATCAAGACAATTCGGAGCTGGTCTCGAAAAAGGTTTTCAGGACCTGAAATGATATTTCAGTAGTTAGGAACGAACGGATGTAATAATTAAATAAGCGTCACAATGAACATATATACAAACAGAATGTTCTAGATATATTCATCGTCAGTCAAATCGGACATGGTTGAAAAAAGAATATCGATAATTACGATAGTAACGAAAGATCCAGTACGTGTGTTAAATGAGTGGGGTGAGTGTTGCTTAAATGAAAAACTTGTGCCATATTACAACGATTGGCAACATTCATTGAATGGAGATCTGTATGATGCACTTACAACAGAGGTCATTATTTATTTCAGTGCTTCTATTACGATTTGAACCCAGAACCTGTGGCTTACTAGTCTGACACCAGATTACGCAGTAGATAAGTTCTCCCTTCTCAAACACTGTATTATCAAACATGGGTGCACATTAATTATTCAAATGCTTCTGCTAGTGGTGAATTAAATGGCTTTGGCCACAATTTTTCATAATGGCATATTTCAGCCTAAAATCATGCAATAATGTATATAGTCAGCAGTATTGCATCTCTCTTGGCACACAGACTATCACAAAAGCTAGTCCCATCCTCTTTTGCCTAGTCCAGTGAATATGCAGACTGTAAATATCAAAATATGGATGCCAATAATATTGGAATATTTCTGTACTACCAGTTAAAAAGGCATGTACCCAGTATACATGATTTAGACATTCGTATTTAAAAAAAATTCAGGAATTTCAATCTTCAAAATCCTTCATGTCATTTAGTTTATATGCTTTTACTGCTGAATTGTTGCTGAAATTTTTATTTTTCATTAATTAGTCCTTGATGTAACTGCATAATTCTCTTGTTTGCTATACATATGTACATGTTAAAATACCTCTGTCTCAAAACATTTTATACCTCCAAAACACAAAAAACAAATTCATAAAAAAACATCTTGAACACTGATTAATCATTTTCCATGTCATAGCAGTAACAGCTGTTTTTTACCTTCAGTGTGAATTTTCCACTGATTTGGTTTTATCTGAACAGTTTTATATGTGAAGTTTTTTATGGCGATATATAGTGTTTAGTTAAAGCAGTATATTTCGCTTGTAGTCAAAGGTATCACAGACAAACATATCGCTAAAGCTTGTGTCTTTTCTAAATTTGAAAGTTAACTAACTCAAGTTAGATGAACATGATAAACATCTGTCACTTATTGGGGAACCTCTATTATGCTCATTAGTGATATAGAAAGATAAGGTTGGATGGGGGAGTGGTAATGCACTCACCTTTTGCCAAGACGTCCACGGTTCTGATTCCCTGGGCAGAAATGACAAGGTATGGGGGTCTGGTTTCCTTCAACAGTAAGATCCCTCTCACCCTGCCATACACGTCAGCAAGAGTGATAAATATAGTCTGATAGCCTGTTTTGCAATATTTGTAAAATAGACAAAGTTTAAGAAGATATGGACCAGAACTATAATGCTAGGGTAGCAGTAGCTTTGAGAAATTCATTGATAACATTTGACATTTTTTAAAATTCATCAGGTACACACTATAAAGCCATATGTATCATCTGAGAAAGGACTGGTTTAATACTCCCGCAATAATTCAGCAATCATCTTAACACAACTTAAGTAAAAATTGTGCACCTCAGTATTATATTTTTGAATTGTTGCAACAGTTTTGTACAGCTTGTTGAACAAACCATATTCATAATTTCTTGTTCAAACAACTCTTTATAAAATTATTTGGCAATTTCAATGAAATTTAATTCAAATTTGATTGATTGAAGGGCTATGAATGGTTGTTTAATTTGAATAATTATCAAAGATAGAATCAATCATTCATTGGAGGAGAGTCAACATTTGCAGCCTTAGATTGAAAGGAGGGAATACTACCACTGTCAGAATACATGTACTTGTGGTCCAGAGTCATATCACTGCCGTTTTCTCATTAGTGAACATCTTGACATAATAATTTTTTCATGTTTTACTTTTTAAGATACATTTGACAAATTAATTTTAGTAAAAGATAACCTTAATACTGTTGATTAAAGTGGTAATTCTTGAACAAGCATGCTTTTGTGTTTGAACTGCTCTGCAATTTTAAACGCAGATTAGTATTAAGTGACTCTATTTTTTCTATTAATACCTTGTGAGTTTGAAAAAGTCAAAAGTGTCCCCATATATGTCCATTTATATATACATGTTAAGTTTTGGATTCTGATTGTTTTCTGGGTGGTTAGAGAGATGTAAGTTTGAGCCAAATACATTTACTGGAATATGTAAAATGTTTTATGATGAAATAATAATTAATGTACATTTTTCTAAAGACAAATTTCTTTCTTTTTTTTTCAGATGTAATAAAGGACACCATGGATGACAGTTCTAATAGAAGAAAGACCAGGTCCTCTGGCAGGAAGAAAGCGAGTACCAAGGTAGCAGATGGTCAGGACACCAGTCAAATTCCTGATGGATCAGAGACTAAAAGTAAGCCTAGTGGGGCATCTCCTGGTCGTTCCTCACCTGAACCAGATTGTGCAATTTGTCTGGGACGCCTTCAGAACAAGTCTTTCACAGACCGCTGCTTCCATATGTTCTGCTTTGTGTGTCTACAAGAATGGTCTAAAGTCAAAGCAGAATGCCCACTTTGTAAGCAGAAGTTTACCAGCATTATCCACAATGTGAGGTCAAACGAGGACTATGACCAATACCCTATCCCGCCAAAGATTCCTTCCTGGCAAGAACAGGCACGTAACTTTCGTTATCACACAACACTCACACTGGAGCGAAGACTACAAATCAATATTCCAGATTTTCGGCAGCATCCACAATACCAGGAACATGATTATACCCTTCAGCGACCTAGCATTCATAACCATATGACCACTCGATCACACTGGCGTCGTCAGAGACAGGCCTCTAGTTCTGATTTTCGCAGGAGGATCTACTTGAACAATCTAAGACTTGTAGAAGTAACAGATCCAAGAATGCGCACTAGAGATACAACGCCAAACTTTTTCAGAAGTAATCCAGCATGTACACATAGACTTGTCCCATGGTTGAATCGAGAACTTAATGCTCTCCTCCAGACCCAGCACGACCAGGTTCAGTTTGTTCTAGAACTTATCATGGGGTTGATAAAACGTGTTGCTATCACAAGTGAAGAGTTTTATGAGGGCGTTTACCCTTACGTTGGTCGACACGCTCGACATTTCATGCATGAATTTGAAAACTTTGCCAGGTCTCCATACAACATTGCTGCATATGATCAGCATGCTGTATATCAACCACAAACCTTGGCAGTAGAATCAGACTCTGACACAGACTCCATTCTCTCAGTGGGGAATGATCAGGATGATGACGATGTAATTGTGATTTCTCCTGGTCAAGAAACAGTAAGGAGACGTCATCCGTCCCCTCCTCATCATCAGCGAGACCAAGAATCACTGACTTACCGTGACCTCTCACCTTTACTACACAGGGTACGGAGTTTGCTGGAGTATCCAGAGAGTAGTCACCTGAGTGTCAACACACCAGGATGGGATTCTCCTACACCTGGGCCATCTTGGGCAGCTGAGACTGAGGTGTCTGACTCCTCAGCAGCTGTAACAAATGTGGACGATGAAACACTGTTGGGAGACAGACTCCGTACAGCGGGAGATGCTCATACTGCAGTAAAAACAGAAGACGAATGTGATATTGATGTTGAACACTCGAGGAGTAACTCCTCTAGTAATGATTCTGATACTGACTCCAGCAAAGCTGGCAGTGATATTGTGTTTGTAGGTTATGACCGCCCATGGCAGGAACGCTCTCCAATATTGTTATCATCCACTGATGATGACGATATTACTCCACAATCCACTTCAAACAGCACTGCTGCAAGGATGACCAAACACAAGGATGATAAAAAGTCACAGAGTGATAGACATAAAAAACGCAGCTCAGAATTATCAAAGAATTACTCGAGATCTTCTAAAAGACG